CGAGCTTGAGTAAATCGATGGTAGAATAGTGTTTAGAAGATATCACAATAAGACAAGCATTTAGCAGCTACAAGGGAGAGGAAGTCGTGGAGAGTCATGTGCGCTAACGTGCAGAAGGGATACGAAACAAAGAAAAAGTAGAAGAGGAAAAAAAGGAACCTGAGAATGGGAGAGTCAGCATCATTTATGTGTCGTTTCCCTTCAAGATAAGGGCGATTATGGGTCTCCACATTTTCCTGTCTCTTGCAGGGCTCAGCAACTTTTGAGGCTTGACCATCACTCCTTGTTCATGAACAACGATTCGTTCACATTAGATATGCTGCTCTATGTTTCTCTCTACCACTCTTTCCCTCAATACGTCCTCTGAGTATTACGTTTTCCAAGCCGTCTTTCCTCATAATGTGCATCCAAAATTTCATCTGCCTCTTTCGGATTTTAAGCACGGGTGTCTTTCTGATTTTATTTTTATTTGAACTTCCCCGTTGCTTAAGTGTTCTGTCCATGTTATTCTCAACATCCTTCTGTAGAACCACATCTCTGTTCCTACAAGTCGGTTCTTCATCTGGAAGGAAATTGCCCAGCATTCACTGCCATACAGGAGAAAAGATACGAGATTTTTCTTTGTTTATAATAAAATATTCGTATGTTTTAAATCTTTGCTTACTTTCTGGAAAGCCTCTTACATATTCCGATACGCCGTCAGCTTCACACGAATAGGACGATAGTTAGCATTTCAGGTGAAGTCGTCGAGCTGATCTCAGACTTTGGCCTAGTCTCTTGCGCTTATTTTCACACTAATGTCTTTGGGGAAAAAAATGAATCATACTTTCTCGCAAGTAGTAGATTTAATAGTAGGACAGACTATTCTGCCACACATATTTTCATTAAGTAGGTTACTCACCGCTTCCTTTGCCCTCCTTTTCCTTTCATATGTCCCGTGAGTGTCAATTTCACCAAAACCTCTTTTCTTATTATGCATACCAGAAATGTCAACTGTCTCTTTATGATTCCATGTTTTAAATGTCTTTTTAGTTATCACTATGCTTAAAACATTCTCATTGCTTAGATAACACACCCATGGTGTTCTCAGCCGTAGAACCAGGTCCCTATTGCCTCAAGTATAATTTTTTTCAGGGAGAAATCAGCCAGATCGAAATGTTTATTCTCGAAACTTGTCCTCATCTCTTGTGATTATCAGCCTTCACGCTTCATACCACACACCATGTCTCGTCGGAAGTTATAACGAGTAAAATTATTTAAAAGTTTATTAATTAAGCGAATTTAAAAAGGAATATTATTAGGTTGGTGCAAAAATAATGACGTAATAATGTCGTTTTGTAACGTATTTTTTAACGTCAAAAAACGACATTATTACGACATTATTTTTGCACCAACCTAATATATTGGAGTTTAGCACTTCAAGA